TAAGCATAACCGATGGGGTGGAGGCAGTGATATGGTTTTGGGTGGCATTTCATCAAACCATAGAACTGTGTTACACATTGTTCAAGGCAACATGCATGTTGTGAATTACCAAGAAAATGTTTTGCAGCCAACTGATAATCTGCCTGTGGCAAACAACATGGACGACAATGCCTGTCCCCATAAAGCAAGGATTGTGAATGCTTTTCAGGAGAACAATATCCTGCATATTGTGGGGGGGGGGGGGGGGGACGTCGGTGGCCGTCGGGGTTCCGGAAGTGGTAGGTTGGATACACGGGGGAGGGGCGATGTGTACTCCAGGGGGTTGACGAGAAGAGGGCACGCAGGTTCGGGGGGTCGGAGAGTCGGTGTAATCAGTTAATGTCCACACCATGCTGTGTTTCCGATGCTTTATTTGTCTGGGGTCCAAGACCCGGCCTGTGAAAATTGGGCAGGCACTTATTAGTTCCATAATACATGTACATGTAATTTAAAAGGAGACATAATGCTGACAAGATTTCCGAAGATAAAGTTAATAAACATGATCCAGTACAAACTAAAATTCAACCTACAAATGTATTGCCGTAGGCACAGTGTCTATATTGGGCATCAAGGAAGAAATACACATATCCAGGCCAACCCCGGCCGCTGGCTGACCAAAATTTACACACACACTAACATACATCACATGCACTCAAATATGTCCCTAAATGCACAATACAACCCATGACCTACAGAGACATCCTAGTTTGACAAAAAGAAAACTAAGTTGACAACCCTCATTAACAATAATCCATTTCCATTTGAACTTGCAACTGTCATTAAGATATTATAGAACTGTCTTCACTCCGCAATTTATCCTTTACTCGTGCACGCTATCTGCACGTGACCATGCTACACGTATGGATGTTATCGAAACAAAACGTGGGCCATACTAATCAGTGCGTACTTCGCCATAGTACCGTCTAAATCAGCCCACAAATATCACTTTTGAAAACTCTTCATTTGTTCCTTTCTACCATTAAACTAGTTTATAATCATAAGCGGATAAAATAAGGGAAGTAAGCATTTACAACTATCTCATTAAGTGGTGAAATAAAGCAATGTAAATCACAACAAAAATTTGGAAGCCGTTACCTGTGAAAATTGGGCAGGCACTGCCGTGCAGCCCGCGTGGTCCAGAGGGGTATAAAATAGAACATACAGTACATGTCTATCAAACAGTTCAAGCAAGTAAGCTGGGCTTGGGTCTACGACAATCAGAATGTAGCACAGCAAAATTAGAAAAACAATGAGTAATTTCAATAATAGAAAACCTTAGTTGACATGTCCTACTTGAAATTTAATACCAACACGAACTACATGTACAAATTTGAGACCATCTTAAGTTCGTTTGTTGTGCATGGCCGCATGACCTCCAGTAATTGGTTTGATTAACTCCAGCAGAGACGGCAGTACAGTAATAAAAGTGAGTACAATGTGTACATTTTTGTAAACAGGAATAACGGGCAAGGATCAAAAAGGTTACAATACATGGAAAATCATGAAATTGACAATCTCTAAATCTGGTAACGTTGGACCTCCCCACAACTTGAAATGGCCTGCCAACTCCCCCGACCTTAATCTGATCAAGAACATTTGGGGCAATTCTGGATAACGGAATCTAGAATGGTAACCCACCAGTTATGAACATTGTCAACCTGAAAGCAACTCTGCATGATTATGAGTGGAATAAACCTGCACCAACAGACCAAGCCACAATATGAGATAAAGTACAGTCCACGAGGAGGCACGGTACGGAATGTGTGCGAGTCAGGGGTCATGCAACCTCATACTGACATTTAAAGGGAACATGCAATAAAATTTTGATTGCATTTTTTTTGCTTAAATCAATAAAGGATGATGTTCTTAACAATATTTTGTGTATGGCGGTGTTTATTTTCTAAGATAAATGGGGGAAAATAATTTGTGAACATGTTTGGTCAAACTACTCCGCCCCACAAAGGGAAGCTTCATTAACATAAAACTTCGCGAGGGGTATGACGCAAGCGAAGGCAGAGACTTGCCGCGCTGCGGGGGCACCGGCATTGCGGCGTGCATCATAATACATGTACATATACATTGCGGCACTGAAAGTTTTTCTGGTGTTTCGTTCGGAATCGAGGAGAAATAACACCCGATTTTCGGCCATGCCGACAAGGTGTGTGGCTGCTGGGTGTAGCAAAACTACCAAGGATGGAGTAAGCCTTCATTTGTTTCCAGTAAATCCGAAATATCGGAGCATTTGGAGAGCCAAAGTGAAGGTAAATACCAGAGCAAAGTGGTCCGGGCCCAGTGAGTTCGCGGCCCTCTGCGCTGCACTTTGAGCCGTCGTGCTTTGATGCTGATCTGTACAGCAACTTGGGCATGCCCCTAAAAAAACATCGAGTCAGTGTTTGAATCATTAGAACTCTGATTGGAATCGGACGAATCTGTACCATTTTCATCGGATTCGCTTAGGAAAGAAGAGGACGGTCTTCGGAACTTTTACGGTCATTACGGTCGTCGTTGTGTTCATTCGACAACGGTGGCACCGTGGCACGTCCACGTGTACTGTACATATCCCATGTACATGTAGACACATTCGTACGTGTGCATATAATGCCACGTACGGGTACGCGGCGGCTGCACATACACACAGCACAGTAGCTTCGCTAATCCGTCTCGTACCCAGACGTCATTTACGGGCCCTGGATTTCTCTGCCTTTGTTTATGTCATGAACAGCGCCCTCATTTGGAGTTGCCGCGAAAATCAAAAAGGGGGGGTTCAATTTTGGACGGCAAATTACCACACTAAACGTACACCAGAACCATTTCTGCTTTTAATTCACATTTAATACACATACATGAATGTATATATAAAATAAAATACGTTATGAAAATTTGGGACTGCATGTTTCCTTTAACCACTTTTTGACTTGGTTTTATCAAATGCAGAATCACATTGATTTTGTGTGGTAAATCTCATTGTCTGGTAAATCTCATTGTCTCTTAGAAAAATAAAGCAGATGTGGCAAATGTGATGGTAAGATCATGGACCTGTTATCTGCATTTTTGTGTCTTGTCACATGACCTGTCATTTTCTAAGCCAATAGAAATGCAGACCATGTGAAAAACTTGCAGTGCAACCTTTAGCCCATTAACTTTAATAAACAATTTTCTTTGTCTGGACATGGTCATTTTTTTATTTTGACCGTTGTAAATGTTTTAATGCAGACAATCATAATTATGTATTTTTGTTGTGGAACAGATCAGCTTGGCTTTATTCTATCCAATCTTGGGGCTAAACTACTTGAGCTGGACAAACTGAAAACGGATACTGTCGCTGTATCTCAGATCGCAAGTAACTTGTAGACTCACACTAGTCACAGTACATGTATTTCACTGAAGTGTCAAGTGTTTAATTTTAGGTGTTCCATTAATCCTCCATGTTATAACTCACTCCATGTTATAATTCACTCCATGTTATAACTCACTCCGTGAAAACTATATTGAAAAACACAAAAGGAACCGCAGTTAAGTACATGAGAAAACCCTAATGAGAAACCCTAGTTTGAACCAGTCACATTATCAGGCTGACCTTAACTTACATGTACAGTACACTTGTAAACACACATGTGGTATGGCAGATTAACATGAACAATATGAATGAACATATGTCAGCGACGAATTGCAACATGTATCCTGTCCTTAGACAATCACAGAATTTATAGAAAGAAATTGGCCAAATAATTCTTGATCAGCACTCGAATAATTAATCAATTGAACTTGTAAACATATGGGATCACATGTGTACATGTACATCGCTACAATAAACATTAGGCAGGATCTATAATGCATGTACGATTATTGTGTTCAAGTTTCATTTCTTATAGCAAAGTTTGGCCTTACAATGAATTAAAACTTATCTTATATTTCTATTAAACATTTAAACAATCATAAAGGGTACAATTTATATTACCTCCATGCCTCTGTGTCTTCAAATTTGACTGAATTTAATGACTGTAATTCTGAGACACAACGCGTGATGAACTTAAGCGCGGTAAAACTTCTGGTCGCTTGAGGGCGCTATAACGAAGCACTGTCATCAGTTACATGGCTCCCCTAAATTAGGACACTAATTTACCTCAAGTACAGCAAATAACAATTTCGGCCAACCTTACACATTATGGTAGTCTCAAGTCTGAAATCTTAACTGGGAGCAGCGAAGGCATTCCTAATGCAGAAATACAACTTGGAGTAAACAAACACATGTAAAGTCGAACAACATTAACAATAAAAAGTTAAATTACAAACTGCATAATTCCAAACATCAAAAAGGGGGAATTTAAAATCAAATCACTTAGTGTCTACTATATTGTACACAACTGCTGCAGGCACTCTGGTGTTAAATTTTGCCCTGTCTAAGTGTAGATCAACAAACTCCAACAACTTTTAACAGATAATCAATGCTGAATTCCAAAGAATCATGTTTTCAACTTGAATCATCTGAACAATAAATTTTCACACAATTCTCGAGTTAACACAGTTTCAAACATCATCAAATTGGGTCAATTATCGGTTTCAAATCACCAATTGAATCTAATGTCTTAAATTTAACAGTCATGGCTCATCCGGTGGGGATTTCCTCAGTCTCCTGAATGCACATACCTTATTCTCTTTAAGGCTCTGCTGGGAGAATAAGAACCAGTTTGTGGATTGGGCGCTCCAGAAATCGGAGAGGCTTGATGCGCTTTCCCTGGTTGTCGATCTGTGCGTCACCCATTGCCAGTTTCACCTTGCGGACATGCTTGTCGTCAGATGGGTAGACTTCTTCGATCCGCGCTAGTGACCAATGATTTCGTGGTGTGTCCTCATCCTTCACGATCACAACATCTCCGACGCTGGCCTCTCTCTTGGGTTGGGTCCACTTTTGGCGAGCTTGCAGACTCTGTAGAAACTCTCTCCTCCAACGCGTCCAGAACTCATTGATGAGATGTTGCACCCTCCTCCATCGCTTTGTCGAATACAAGTCCTCTCGCTGGAAGTTTCCTGGAGGGGGAAGAAGAACCTTTGATTTCATGGTTAGTAAGTGATTGGGGGTCAAGGGTTCTGGACTGGTGGGGTCGCTCAAGGGATCAACTGTCAATGGTCTGCTGTTGATGATAGCTGTTGCCTCATACAGGAATGTACGCAGAGACTCATCATCGAGCTGAAGGCCAGACTGATGCATCAAGGTTTGTAGGATGCTGCGGGTGGACCGAATAAGTCGTTCCCATGCCCCGCCCATGTGGCTCGCAGAAGGAAAATTGAAGTTGAACTGCACGTAGTCGCATCCATCTCTCAACAGGAATTCTCTAACCTTCTGGTGATCAACCTTGGCCCAAGCTTTCTCAAACTCATTTTCTGCTCCAATGAAATTTGTTCCTCTGTCCGATCGAAGTTGGCGTACTGGACCACGCAAAGCCAGAAACCTTCGGAGGCCATTGATGAAGGCGTCAGTACTCAATGAACCCAAAATCTCAATATGTACAGCTCTTGAGGCCATGCAAGTGAAAAGAAGGCCGTACCTTTTCATCTCCTTTCTACCCTCCTTGATCAGAAACGGCCCGAAACAGTCCATTCCACAATAAGTGAACGGTGGTGCTGGTGTGATCCTATCATGGGGCAGATCTGCCATCTTCTGTGTCTGTGCTGAGCTGCGAAGTCTGTGGCAGGTTATGCACCCTCTGATAATTCTGGAGACTGCGCCATTACCTCCTATTACCCAAAAGCCGCTTGCTCTCAGCAAGTTGAGCGTCATCCCTCGTCCTTGGTGGGCGGTCTGCTGGTGATAATGGCTGATCACCAACTCCGTCAGATGATGCCTTTGGGGTAGAATCGCTGGGTGTTTGGTTTCAAAGGACTCGTCGGATCTTCTTATGCGGCCTCCCACTCTCAGCATTCCTTCTTTGTCAAGAAAGGGATCCAAGCGTTGGAGATGGCTGGCATTCTTCACACGGCGTCTGGTTTGTCTTTCGGTTTCACCATCATTTCTCAGGGATTCGAGGATAGAAATCTCATCAGCAAAGGACTCCTTCTGCAGTTGCTTTAGTATCAGCAACTCGGCCTGATGCAGATCTTCAACCGTGACTGTTTTTTCAACAGGTGGTACTGGGGCTGCATTTACAACTGGTGGACGATGCTTCACCACACAACGTCTCTTCAGGCGAGAGATGAAGCGCAGACAATTTGCGACTGCTCTTTTTGCATGGTACCAGTTGGAGAAGCGGTTCAAGCGGTCCAACTCGAAGACAGGATGGTTGGTACTGGTCGCAAGAGCTTGACTCTTCTTCACCTCTGGGTCGTCTTGTCTCACCTTGAAGCTCGACTGATCATCGCACCTTGGAATTTTCTCCCTCCACAGCATTTCTGGTCCGGCAAGCCACAGCGGTGTCTCAATGAGTTGGCGTACTGTCAAGCCCCGGGATGCTGCATCAGCCGGATTATCCTTTGTGTCAACATGACGCCATTGTGAAGGAGAGGATACATCCCTGATCAGCCTGATTCTGTTGGCGACGAAAACGTGGAAACGCTTTGAATCATTGCCAATGTATCCCAAAACCACACTACTATCTGTCCAAAAGAACTCCTCATAGTTGAGATTAAGTTCCTTCTTCAGGAATGAGCTGACTCTGACGGAGACTACGGCGGCAGTCAATTCGAGGCGAGGTATCGTCACAGGCTTCAGTGGTGCAACTCTAGACTTCCCCATCACTAACGTGCAGTGTACTCTTCCCTCGGAATTGGTAAGTCTCAAGTAGGAACACTGGCCGTAACCGCAGGTGCTGGCATCCGAGAAGTGATGCAGCTGGGCCGTCTGTACCTCACCGAAGTCAGCAGGTTTGTAGCATCTCTTTATGGACAGTGACTGCAAATTTCCCATGTCATTTCTCCACCTTTCCCATCTCACCCTCAGCGCCTCTGTAAGTGGGTCGTCCCACCCGGCAGACTCTCTACACAGTTCCTGCAGGATTTCTTTGCCAACCAGCACGACAGGTGCTAGTAAGCCCAGCGGGTCGTAGACTGACATGACGGTGGATAGTATGCCTCTTCTGGTAAGGGGTTTGTCTTGAAGCGTGATCCTGAAGTTGAATGAGTCTGACTCGATGCACCATTGCACTCCCAGTGCTCTCTCTATTGGAAGATCGTCATGAAGGAGATTGACCTCTCTGATGCCCTTTGCTCGATCCTCAGCCGGTACTGAATTGAGTACCTCCCTCGAATTTGAGACAAATTTGTGTAGATGGAGACCTCCCTTCTTACAGAGTTGTCTGGTTCCGGATATCATGTCAATGGCTTCCTTCTCAGACTTGACAGACCTTAGCCCATCATCAACATAGAAGTCATGAAGTATAAAATCCGTCACTTCTCTGCCGAACTCTGACACATGATCTCTGGCTAGTTGCTTGAGTGCGAAGTTGGAACATCCGGGGGAAGACCCTGCTCCAAACAGATGTACCTTCATGCGGAATTCACCTGGCGGTTGATGATAGTTTCCCTTCGGCCACCAAAGGAACCTCAAGTAATCTCTATGGTTGTCAATGACCCTGAACTGGTGAAACATCTCCTTAACATCACACATGAATGCGATATTTTCTTGTCTGAATCTGCAGAGCACTCCTACCAGTTTATTTGTCAGATCTGGTCCTGTAAGCAGGTGAGAGTTGAGCGATTCGTCCTTGTACTGCGCACTGCAGTCAAAAACAACTCTCAGCTTGTTAGGTTGCTGGACTCCATGATGTGGGATGTACCAAGCGGGACTATCACGGTGAACGATGTTGGGCACTGGCTCAGCATACCCGTCAGCAATGAGTGCGTCCATGAGCTTGGAATACTTCTGCTGGTACTCTCTATCTCGTTCAAATTTGCTTCTAAGGTGTCCAAGTCTCTTGCTCGCCATGAACTTGTTGTTTGGTAGGTTGGGTTCACCGTTCTTGAAAGGCAATGCTGTCTCATAGTGGCCATCTTCTGTGAGGTGGATGGTCTCCTTCATAATGCTCAGAAACCGGACATCATTCTGTGAAAATGATGAGTTGTCATCCCTTGCTTCACAGAAGTCAGCTTCCAGCAAGCGTGTAACTTGAAGGGGGCTTATTTCCTCCTTTGCTGTTATACCTTGGGTGAACACTACTTGACTCTTTGTAGTTTCGCAGTTGTGGGTCAGGTCTGCTGGAAGTTCGCAGGCTGTCAAACGATGACTGAAGCCGATCTTGTCATCTACACAGCTCTCGTACTCATCAGGCTTCATCACACCAACAATGCTCCATCCCAAGTCTGTTTTCAGACCATAAGGCCCGTCATCAATTGGTGGGATAACTTCCCGTGGGGCCAAGGCTTTCGTGCAGTCATATCCAATAAGAAGACCGATCTCACATGGCTGCACTGGAAGCAGGTGCTCCTGTAGTCGAGAGAGATGTGCATGTGAGCTTGCCATATCAGGATTAGGGATGTGACTTCTGTTCGCAGGCATGATGTTTCTTGAGTAGGTCGCAGGGAGGGGGATTTTCTTATCGCTGTTGTGAGCACGAACAGCAAGTCCTTCTATTCTCTCACTGGGGATTCTTTCGTCTTTGCTGGTCATTGTAGAGAGGAAGAGGTTTACCTTGACACCTTTCAGTCCCATCGCAGTCTTGGTGGACTCAAGGATGAACGATGTATCTGATTGGGTATCGAGGAGAGCATAGACCATCCTCTCGTCAGGTGCTGATCGATGTGACAACCAAACTGGGACTACCATGGTACTTTTCGCAATGTCCTTGTTTGAGTTGAGATGGCAAACACTAGTAGTGTGTGAGCTTAGTGAGGTGTGGTTCTCAGGTTTCTCTAAGTTCACGGTTGGTTGGTCGGTCTGGTACCTGTCACCATGCAGCAGGGTTGGATGTCGCTTCATGCAAACTGCACACACACTTCTTCTGCGGCAATCCTTTGATCTGTGGCCTGGTCGAAGACATCCAAAGCAGAGACCCCTTTCTTTGATGTAGACCTTTCGATCTTGAAGGGTCTTTGCTGCAAACACTTCACAGTTGTCCAGGTTGTGCAATTTCTTGCACAGCACACAGGTTTGGGGGCGGGCCTTGTACTCAGGTTGTTGCTTGGGGGGTCTATCAGTTGACACGCTAGTTGAAAATGACCTTGCACCAGCATGTGATCTCTTCCTGTCATACCGTTCTTCCCTTAGACTGTGGACAGACGTTACAGGATCACAGGCGATGTTAGCTTCCTTTTCTACAAAGGAGGCAAATGTTTGAAAGGGTGGGTAGCTTCCATTCTTCTCCTTCCAGTTGGCAACGGTGCGTCCCCACCTCCCGATCAACCAATCTGGTAGTTTGGCCAAAATCTTTCTGTTTTCTCTCTCGTCATTGAGATGGTTGAGGTTACCGTTCTTCTCCATGGCTGTTTTGCACTGGCGGAGGAAGTCCGATAGTCGTCTCAGTCCGAATGCATCTTTGGGGGCCACAGTCGGCCACGAGTCCAGCTTGTCTCGAAATGCATTGGACACTATGAAGGGATCACCGTATCGTTTGTCAAGAGCCCTCTTCGCTTCTTTGTATGCGGATTCATCATTGACAAGGGAGAAGCCACGCACCAGGTCTAGTGCCTCGCCCTTGAGATATTTCTTCAGGTAGAAGAAACGTTCGGCTGGGGGTACGTGTACACCACGGTGCTCGATGAGAATGTCGTAGCCTTGTTTCCATGTGATGTACTGCATGGGATCACCGGAGAAGACGATTGGTTCAGGTGGGGGCAATCGGTTCATTTTCAACTGCTCCAGCAGGCTCCCTGTTAGAGTTTTAATTGCGTCATCTGTCGGTGACTTCATGTCGCAAGTTGGCGAAGTGAACTGTCCGTTCTCTGTAGGGGTGGTCAGTGGGTCGGTGTTTGGGGGTGAAGGGCTGGATTCATTCTCAGGAGTTGGATTCGGTGAGTCCATTTCCTGATTTGCTGTCTCTGCAAAGTCATTCTCGACGGGGGGTTCTTCACCATGAGCAGGTAAGTTCACCCACTGTTGACATTTGCTTCCGGCTGAACTAGATTTGAGGGAAGCAGCTGATGAAGCAATATCTCCTCTCAACGCAAGTATCCGCTCATGGGTTAGTCTCATTAGAGCGGCATGTTCTATTTCAGCATTCTCAAGCTGTTCGGTGCTGTCATCGGGCAGATTCGATGTCGACAGAAACTTGGCAAGAGTTTCTTGTATTTCGATGGCTTTGTCCATAGCCTGTTGTGACGCGTCTCTTTGTAGCTTGACATTTGAAGTTTCCTCTTCATCGCAAAGCAGAGTTCTCAATTTGTTCGCATTTCTCCGCCATGATGTCAAGCTGCTTCGGAATTCCTTCCGCTTCACGTCCGCATGCCACTGGATTCCCTTCTCCGTTTGCTTTGACTCCCTTGCTGTCTCCTCAGTCATCTTGAGGTCGAAGTATATTCAGCAGGGAGTTGGAGCATCAAATATAGTGTGGAGGAGTTTTCACTGTCGCTGTATCTCAGATCGCAAGTAACTTGTAGACTCACACTAGTCACAGTACATGTATTTCACTGAAGTGTCAAGTGTTTAATTTTAGGTGTTCCATTAATCCTCCATGTTATAACTCACTCCATGTTATAATTCACTCCATGTTATAACTCACTCCGTGAAAACTATATTGAAAAACACAAAAGGAACCGCAGTTAAGTACATGAGAAAACCCTAATGAGAAACCCTAGTTTGAACCAGTCACATTATCAGGCTGACCTTAACTTACATGTACAGTACACTTGTAAACACACATGTGGTATGGCAGATTAACATGAACAATATGAATGAACATATGTCAGCGACGAATTGCAACATGTATCCTGTCCTTAGACAATCACAGAATTTATAGAAAGAAATTGGCCAAATAATTCTTGATCAGCACTCGAATAATTAATCAATTGAACTTGTAAACATATGGGATCACATGTGTACATGTACATCGCTACAATAAACATTGGGCAGGATCTATAATGCATGTACGATTATTGTGTTCAAGTTTCATTTCTTATAGCAAAGTTTGGCCTTACAATGAATTAAAACTTATCTTATATTTCTATTAAACATTTAAACAATCATAAAGGGTACAATTTATATTACCTCCATGCCTCTGTGTCTTCAAATTTGACTGAATTTAATGACTGTAATTCTGAGACACAACGCGTGATGAACTTAAGCGCGGTAAAACTTCTGGTCGCTTGAGGGCGCTATAACGAAGCACTGTCATCAGTTACAGATACCCTTTTTCTGGTTAGCCTGAGCAATCCAGATCTTCATGAAGGTCAGTAGACTATCTCTATTTAAAGTGATATTGTGCCACATCTGCTAATAATATCAACACTGATCGGGGAATTGGGGTGAGGTGTCTCAAAAGTTTTGTCCCGGATTGTAGATTCATTTTGATTTGCCAATCCTTTTCTTGGCATTTACATTTTCATTTTATTATTGGCCTTTCAATGAATTTTTATTTACGCACACTAAAACTAAAACAATTGCTAAGAAAAAAACAATGCTTGGTGGGTCTTTAATAACCGATTCTGCAGTTACTTAAATAAATGAAGATGATAGTTCACGGGTGAATATTGCAGCAAGGTGCTTCAACCTAATGTCCACTAGCAGGGCTTAAAATACCAACTGCATCGAGTACAGTTATTTGAAGTGATGGTCTAATAAACTGTTGGCCTAGTTTGGTTGGCTAGTGATTTTGGAGGTAGTTTTTGTGTTTTTATCTGGCTAAGGCTGTGTCCGAAATGAGATCCCAGAGTTACGGCTACGTCGTATTGTCAGCACGTCTCCGTGTATTTTCAATGGAGCGAAGACCTAGATCTATAGCTCTAGACAGCAGATTCTGACACAGCCTTATGCATGAACTGTTTATTTAGTGGGGTCGCGCATTGGATCAAGCTGATCATGAAGGTGATCGGATGACCTTTTGAGGAAATTTGACTGTTTACATATTCAGTGGGTACTTATAAAGGTAAAGATCACTACAGTATGCCCATGGATAAGAGGTAATTTCCTGGACTGATCAATGCATTTTTTGTTTATGCAGAACTGAAAAAGTACGATGTGGACGCAGAGCTTAACCATGTGGTGTCACGCTACTGGCTCCTGGACACAATATCGATGTACAGGAAACAACCATTTCATCAGCTGTACAAAATGTGAACTGAAGGTAAATTCTCTTCTAAGGGGGTTTGGGAAATGCTCATCTAAAAATTAAGGAGTGATTCAATTCCTGCATCCTGGTGCAATATTTGACTCTAGTTAGCCATACCTTGGTTTTAATGGTCCTTTGCCTCTTGCTGTTTGTAAACTGTAACTGAGGTCTTTTTACAAGATTGGCTTTCATGGACACGGGGGTCTAGTACACTGTAAAACCGGTGAACACATGACGCGTTTATAATCTAAACACTTTTGAAAAATTAAAAACATGGATGTTTACCTTATAAACGCAAAGTGTTTATAGGCGTTGGTCTTAACACACAATGCATAAACAGTGTTTAGCAATTAAACACTTTTCTAACACTTTCCTGCTTTCACTTTGCGATATGTTTAAATACTAAACATGTCTAGAGTATAAGAGGGATAGTGTTTAACAATTAAACATTGATGTTTAGGAAAAGAACACATAATCTAAACACTATTGAAAAGTTAAACACTTGGATGTTTACGTTATAAACGCAACTTTAAACACTTGGATGTTTACGTTTAAACACTTGTATGTTTACGTTATACGGCGTTGGTCTAAACACACAATGTACGTACAGTGTTTAGCAATTAAACACTTTTCTAAAAACGATCCTGCTTTCACTTTGCCACATGTTTAAATACTAAACATGTTTAGAGTAAGAGGGATAGTGTTTAACAATTGAACATCGATGTTTAGGAATTGAACACAAAAGTCATAATGTAAACATTATTGAAAATTAAACACTTTGGATGTTTACGTTATGAGAAAGTTGCGTTGGTTTAAACACATGTTTTTAAACCAACGCATAATGCATAAACAGTGTCTAGCAATTAAACATTTTTCTAAACACTTTCTTGCTATCAAACATGTTTAAATACTGAACATGTTTATAGTCAGAACGGATCGATTTGAACATTGATGTTTATAGGAATTGAACGCACAATGTAAAGCTTCAAAACATGTTTCAAAAAATGATAAGATGATTGTGTATAATTGCTGAACACAGTTTTGAGAGTGCAGTGTTTAACAATGTTTATTTTTTTTGTCTGTAATTAAAGTTTAATGATGTTCTAAAAGGGTAGACAGCTAATGTTAATCATTACTCGCACACAAAATTAATCAGGAGCACGAATGACTGTTAATTAACTGTTTAGTTTCAAAACCGGAACACGACGTGTCTAGATTTTAAACATATCGTCACCGACACCACGAAGTAACACTCTACCGTGTTAAATTTTTTTCGATTTTCAGTTTTTTGGATTTTTAAACATTATTCATCAAGGCCTACCATTGAACGAAGTTTCAAAGCTTCAAGAGCTTTACTTTAATAATTAAGTATCCATGGCAACTTTTGCGCAAAAGTGACAATTTTCGTTTTCACGAAGTAACACTCAAGTTCCATTTTCCATTGCAATGCATTGCGCGCACTCTGCTCATAAGTGAGCAAAAACGTTTTCACGAAGTAACACTCTTCTTGTAACAAGTTGTATGAGCGCGCGCGCGCTGACCTGAAGTTGCACTTTCCTCGTGTTAAATACATTGAAGTGTTACTTCGTGAAAACGAAAATTTACAGTTTCGCAGCTTTTTCGGTTTCACGAACTAACACTCATCTTTTTTCTCTTATTTCTTGTTTATTTAATACACAAACGAGTGAAAAACAGCAGATTTAATAAATTCAATTCATCAAGTGTCCACAACGAGAAACCCAACTGAAAATACTCTGTCGTTTCGACGCAAAGTGTTTTTTAGAAGGCGTTCAACTTTAGATGCCGTTTTCTCCGATTGCTAGTTTTTACTGGTATGTAGATGGGTGTTACTTCGTGGTGTCGGTGACGATATTGTAGCGCAATGCATTTTATAGAGGGAGCACTTTAGTTCTTTACTGGTAGCCAGCAGGGTGCGCGTGCACACACCCAGGTTTATTGGGGCACCAGCCAATTAGCGCCAGTCTATATAAGCGGCCATGCGCTCAGCTTCGCCCTCTTTCTGCTGTGGCCGGAACCCGTGCGCGGTCTCAGGAAAAGTTGCACTGTTCTAATTTCCCACAATTAACCAATCACCTATAGTCGCAGCGGAGGGAGCCTCACACTTTTTGTGAGTGTAGTTAATTAATGATTCCTGCATTATAATCCAGATAATTAAGTAATCTCTGAGTTTGTAAGGGAAGTGATTGAGTATAAGATCACGTAGGCGAGGCGCCTGTGTAGGCGAATAAATAATCTTCCGAAACACATATCTGGTGTCAGGTCCCCATCCTTCCCCAGTCCCCCTAGTTAATCCGCTTGGGTTGTGTGAGCGAGAGTGCATGTAAGGGTGATCCTTTGGTAGTCTGCTGCGGGCCTGGCGGTAAATCTCCGCCGAAACGGATCTGCGTACCCGACCTTAGAGGCTAGGCCGTTCGCTGCTACTCGCCGGGGCAGTCGTCCGAGGCAGTACCGCTACAAATTGGTGTCAGGTGCTGGATAGGCGCCGTTGCTTCACTGCTAAAAATCACCTACGCCTGTGACATCACCTAGCTAGGAGTCATCACCCCAACAATCTACAACTACCCCTATTAACCGACATGGCCGCCAACGAGATATCCTTGGAGGACGAGCTGATGTTGCTGCGTATGGACGTGCAGAAGGGCGAGGACGAGTTACAACAATCCCTTGCCGAGAACCGCGATCTGACAGAGATCAAGGAGTTGCTGCTGGCGCAGAATCGCCTATTGAGATTGCAGCTTCGCCAAAGTGAGGCCAAGTCAGAGGCAGCACAGCGGAGGGCAGATAAGACGCCCAGTACGTCGATGACGACCCAGTTCGGCAGCCGTGAACTTTTCACATTCACAGACACCCCTTCACCAGTACCATCACCAAGGCCTACCCCGGAACCCAGAACGAGATTCTATAATCCCGTTGCACCAGCGCCTACACCTGTGTCTACGACAGGCGTCCCGTCACGGACGGTGGACGAGTTGACAAGCTGCGGCGAGGAGGGCAGTCTAACGGAGTTGACGCCTACTGGTCATTCGACCGTTTGCCGGCAGCCGGGGACCCAAGCAGGAGTTCCGTTGCAGTCTGTGAAAGACGCAAGCCAGAGGGAGGGCGAAAACTCCCCTGACCTTCAAGGAAAGGAGGTCGAAAACAAAGGAGAAGTTGGGGTGAAAAGTGAAGTGGATGTTCCTACCAGACATCCGAACATCATCCCCGACAGATTCAG